GAAAGGGAAGGTTTATGGGATTGACTTGGTTTATTTGGGAAGAGCCAAAGGAGCCTTTTCAAGAGTCATCTTTGCCAAAACTTACTTGTCCAAGACAATTGTCCCCCATGGCTGGACCAACTGGAGCTTTGATGGCACCACCGAGTAAGATATTATTAATTATTATTAATCTTCTTTACTTTTTCTTTCCTTTTCTTTAATTAATCATGTTGAGGGTTTAATTAATAATTAATTAATTAATTAATTAAATAGGAAGCTGTTTCATGCGGAGTACAAGTGTCACGGGCCGGGAGCTGAATCGGCTGGAAGAGCTCCATGGTCAAAGCAACTCACGAAGGAAGAGGTTGCTCCTTTCTTGTCTATTAGTTTCATTAATGGCAACCAATGGCTCCCTGTTTGGCAAGCTGAGGAACTCACCATCTAATTCCATTTTTATTAATTAATTACATCATATATATATACATACACAGATATATATCTGTACCCTTTTCGTTTTTTCGGAGGTTTTGTACCTGTAGTACACAAAACATATATATATATATGTATAGATCAATCAGGGGCCGGTCTTTCCAATTATTTGGCTTGGCTCAAAGTTTGTAGCAACTGATTTATTGGGTTTAACATATAACATTTCATTTTAAAGCATTCAATTTTTTCTATTCGGGACGGATCAAAATTTCAAAATTTCAGACACAGTCACCAGATTAAAGACAAACGAATTAGATTACTGACAGTTTAATTTTCTTACATATATATGTGTATCTTATAATCATGAATATATATATCTACGTAAAATAAGTTCATTGGCCAGAATGCGGACGCTTGCTGATCTGCATTTATTATTATGATTGTTGAGTAAGTAGCTAAGCTTAGAGGAATCGGAAAATAGTAAACTGCACGTGCATGGAGAAGCCCATGCAGGACGTACGAAACTCTATGTAACTTATAAGTACTTAAATTTTAGGATCAAAATCCGCCACCAATTCCTCCACCAGCTCCACCGCCTCCGCCGAACCCACCACCAGAACCTCCACCAGCCCCGCCACCTAATCCTCCTCCAATTCCTCCACCTTTACCACCTCCAAATCCACCACCAGCACCTCCTCCAGCTCCACCGCCAAGTCCTCCACCAGCACCGCCACCAAATCCTCCTCCTACACCTCCACCTTTACCACCTCCGAAGCCACCACCTGCACCGCCTCCAGCACCACCTCCACCACCAAGTCCTCCTCCCACACCTCCACCTTTGCCGCCTCCAAAACCGCCACCAGCACACCTCCAGCACACCTCCACCGGCACACCACCGAATCTTCTCTCACTTTTCAGCTCCAAAACAACACAGCGCACTCAGCTCACTTCACGGCACACACGAATCTCTCTCACTTGCGCTC